AGAGAGAAGAGAGGGAGAAAGGAGGAGAAAGAGAGAGGGGGAAGGAGAAAGAAGCTCGTGGGAGCAAAGAGGGCCATCCCCAGAGGGTCTAGGAGGGTCACCGTCATCGGAGTCACCGGAAAACGACAAGAAATCCGGCCAAAACTCAGATCCGAATCTGAGCAAAGGTGAGTGGCTTGAGTTGCGTCTGTGTAAGCTCATTTTCGTCGATGTGATTGTGTTATCTCGATGATTCGTTGATTGAGTTTGAAAGAGGACATTTCAATGAAGATTTAGAAACAAACGGTACTCAATTTGGTTGAGAAACGAAGGAGATATGAACAAATGCAAAAACAGGCCTCTGGTCCGGGGCGGACCAGGCTTCCTCAGCCCTGTCGCCTTGGTCTGGCGGACTAAAAATGATTTTCCGAACTTGGTCCGGAGCTGACCAGTTCCTGGTCCGGCGGACCGGAACTGGGCAGTTCGACGTTTCGCGTTTTTCAGGTTTTTGGTCCGACTTCGATTGCTCATAACTCCCTCATTTCTTAACCAAATCGCGCACCGTTTGTTTCTAAATGTTCATTGGGATGTCCTTTTTCATATCCAAACAATAGATTATTTAAATATTCTGTATAAATGAAGAAAAATGATTCGTAATGCCTGTACCTCGAAAAATTGCGATTCTGCAAATTTCAGTTTTTCCATAGTTTTCATTTGTTCATATCTCCTTCGTTTCTCAACCAAATTGAGTACCGTTTGTTTCTAAATCTTCATTGAAATGTCCTCTTTCAAACTCAATCAACGAATCATCGAGATAACACAATCACATCGACGAAAATGAGCTTACACAGACGCAACTCAAGCCACTCACCTTTGCTCAGATTCGGATCTGAGTTTTGGCCGGATTTCTTGTCGTTTTCCGGTGACTCCGATGACGGTGACCCTCCTAGACCCTCTGGGGATGACCCTCTTGGCTCCCACTAGCTCCTTTCTCCTTCCTCCTCTCTCTTTCTCCTCCTTTCTCCCTCTCTTCTCTCTGCTTCATCTCTTTTCCCTCTGCAGCAGAAAATAGCTGCATCCCCTACTTTGCTAGGGTTTTTGGCCACGAAAGAGAGGTCGAATGGGCTCAAACAAAGGCCCAGGTCCAAGCCTACAACATGCTTAGGGTCGTGGGAGGTCGAATCGCGTCGAGAGGGGCCGAGACAGGCTGGAAAAATTTGCACTGCCGGTCCGCCTGACCAAGAATTTGGTCCGCCGGACCGGATGACCAAAACAGATTTTCGATCCGCTGTACCCGGTTTGGTCCGACTGAGCTTCTGGTCCGGCTGACCAAGTTTGGTCAGCTCCGGACCAGACTCCTTTTCTTCTTCCTCGGTCCGCCTGTTGCCTGCGAGTCCGAACTGACTGAGTTAGTCCGGAGCTGACCAAACTTGGTCCGGCGGACCAACTCAGTTTTTACCAATTTTCTTCATTTTCTCGATCTTTCTGCATGTGCCGATCCTCGTGTCTGCTCCCCGCACTATACTACTTATTTTTGGTGATTTCGCGACCTCTCTATTTAATTATTTTTTTCAAAAAAAAATAATTAAATATTCAAATCGGGTTTCGGGGTATTACAAGAAGTTCAAGAGAATATCGAGACATAAGAGAATTATATTACAGCTCTAGAAGCTTCTCCAGCGTCTGAGAAGGCAGCAAATCCCGATCCTTTGCTAGTGCCACGCATAACCTGTTCAAGAAAATGCAACACAATGTACATAGGGAATTCCCGATAAATCTTATCTATCTGTGGACAAAACCATGAAACTGACATTGCAGGAAGTTAATTGTACCGAATTCCGAAAACAACTCCAGCAACTTCTCATCAGTGACAGTATCACTCATCGAGATTTTTTAACTTACAAATTCAATCCTTCAAACTTGTTCCCTGTCTCTCTCAAGCCATGTTCGCATCTTCCCTTCAGTTCTAGTTCCCTCTCAGATTTCTTCAGCGCTTTACCAGCATACCCTTCCTTTTTCACCGAACTTTTTCTGCCTTCAACACATTGAGCTGCATCTTCAGGATTCTCAAAGTTGACAAATCCAAAGCACTTGGATTTTCCATCCCCATCTCTCATAACCACAGAACTTGTGATATTTCCATATTGACCAAAAATATCCTTCAAATCATCATATGATGTTTCTGACAGATTCTTCGCATAAACATAGTTGAACTTTTTCTTATTTGCACCAGACTCTCTTTCCTCCGTGCAAAGAAAGGGTCCGGTCCAACGAAGATTTGTTTTCCATTAAGCAATGCGGCATTCAGCTTCTCAGCCGCATTTTTAGCTGGATCCTCCTTTTCAAACTGCACAAAACCATATCCTCTGGACCGACCCAAGTGATCAGTTACAAACTTACAGGGCTTTGTTCTTGTCCGAATTCTTCTCATGACAAAAAGAGAAGAAAGCCACACAAAAGTTAGACATGGAACAGAAACAGAAGCCCAGAGAAAATGGATAAAAAGACTAGACACAAAAGCAAATACCTTGACGAATAAGGTACCAAAGCCGCTTCCACGAAGAGAAGAGCATGTCACTCTGATCATCTTGCCATTGATATGGGAGAAATTCAACTCATTCTCATCGCCCCATCCGCTGTAAGGAAACTCAACCGTCAACGACACTATGAAGAAACAAGATCAAGTGTAAAATTCTTCGAAACCATTCTAGGCGAAATGTATGAATACGTACGCAATCTTCTGGTAAGAGAACTAAACCTAAATCCCAATCATGGAACATACATACATTCCGACACTACTATCCATCAGAGACACTCACTGTAAGAACAGGAAGTCAGACGGTAGCCACAGAAGACAAGTCAGTTCATTGCCACAAAACCTTTCACTCGAATTGGCCATACATTGACGAAGATTGGTGAACAAGAGCGGGAAATTGGAAACCCAGATGAAAAAGAAAACATAGAATCGAAGTAGGTAATGCGAATTGAATTCAAGGGAATTTGGAAGCAGAAGGGCACAAACCAGCAGCAGCAGACGCCGAAATCATCCCGTCCGCCGCCGTAATCGGAGAAGGCGTGGTCGAATGCGAAGGAACCTGAACCTGCGCCATTGTTGCAATCTCCACGAAAACGAAAACGAAAACGAAAGCGAAATGGATCGCAAACCTAGCGGAAGCTACGAAGTGGAAGAAGGATTTTTATTGGGCTTTTCGTAAAGTTACTTTTTTCCTGGGATTGGAGGAGATGAGGGAAGGACGACGGCGGAGATGAATGGCAGTTCGGCGGCAGAGGAAAAACGGGGAAAATACTTGTTGTCACAAATACAAAAATAAACCTTTTTTATAATATTAAATACGAATAAAAACAAAACAGATCCAAATTAGTATATTCTTAAATAAAAAATCAAAAATCAAAACCAGAAATACAAAAATATAGAAATAAACATACAATGAACAGAGGAAATAGGAAAAAGTACACCTTGTTGTCACAAATACAAAAACTAAACATTTTTATAAAATTAAAACAAATCCAAATCTAGTACATTCTTAAAATAAAAAATAAAAAATCAAAACCAGAAATATAAAATATAGAAATAAGCATATACAATGAACAGATGAAAAACAGGAAAACAAATACATCTTGTCACGAATACAAAAAATTACTAAAAAGAAGATGGCAAAAAAAAAAGTAATTATAATATGAAAAAGATGGTTCATATTCCTATTCCCAAGACGAGCAATATCTCATCACTCTTCCTTCGTCCCGGCGACGAAAGCAGGGACTATGGACGCCATCCTCCACACCGCTCCACTCTCTGTCACGCGCCCACGCGCCGCCGCATCTGCTTCCCCTCCTCCCCCGGGATTCTTCGTCGTACTTCCCGGCCGCAAGCTCTGCCTCTCTCCTCTCTCCGCTCCGTCGTGCTCCGCCTTCGCCGCCAAACTCAGAAGGCCTTCTGTCGCCGCCTCCGGTGCCGCTTTGGCGGAGAATTCGTCCTCTGTATGCTTTCCTCTGACTTAATCTGGTTCACTTTGTTCGATTTCTCTCGGATTCTGTTCCGCGAGTATCGAATTTCCAATTTTGCTATGCATGTGGGTTTCTGGGTTTTGGTGAACCGAAGATCAGGTGGCTTGTATGTTCATCTTGTGTCCGTTACTGTTCAAAGATTCAAGCTTGATTGATATGCTAAGCTTAGATCCGACCCATAAACCGTTTCCCGATTGTATCACCTGAAGAGTCATAGAATACGAAAAGAAGAGGCAATCAGTATTGGTCACTTGCTGATCCGGGTTTTCAAATTTGCAACCATTTTTGCTGGAAAGATCTTCAGTTGTATGTTTTGTCTTTGAAGTAGTTTGATGTTCTAAACTGAGAGACATCTTCTATGTTACTGACAGCCAAGAACCGGTGTGTACACTGTTGGAGAATTCATGACAAGGAAGGAGGATCTGCATGTGGTAAAACCCACCACAACTGTAGATGAAGGTTCTTGTTCTCTAATCTCTACACTATATAATTAGGTTTTTTAATCATGCAGTGATGTTAAATAGCTATGGAGATGATCCTTGTTTTTTTTTTTTTTGCCATTTTTCAATAGCTCTGGAGATTCTTGTGGAGAACAGAATCACAGGCTTTCCTGTAATAGATGAAGACTGGAAATTGGTCAGTCTGCATACTTTTTTATATAAATATTCTGAATTCCAGTTTCTTGAACCGGATGATGTTCTTCTGTTTCTGTTCATCAAGACGTGAGCTTCTCTTTCTCAATTCTTCTGTTTCAAATGGTATGTCTTGTGGGTATTTTTCTGCTGCCTGCAGGTTGGGCTTGTTTCAGATTATGACTTGTTGGCTTTGGATTCCATATCTGGTAAATTTTTGAATAACTAAACCTTCTAATGCATTTAGTTTCCTTTCGTTTAAACAAGTTGGTATCGATTTTACCCTGCATCTTTGTCAATTGTCAAAGGGGAAGATGTGAAAATGAACTTGAATAAGATGAAACCAGCTTTGATCACATGACAATAAAAGCCAGAATTCAGATAGTATGCTGGTGAAGTGGGAAACGCTTTAGATTCAAACCCGAAATCTTGTTACACGTTTTTTGCTTTGTTAAAATAGGCAGTGGACGAGCTGAAATCGACATGTTCCCCGAGGTTGATAGCACTTGGAAAGTAAGTGACCTTCTCCATGCTATCTTTAAATCTTAAATCATGGCCATTTACCCATTAGGAATGTTTGAATACAAAATTAGCGTTATAAACAAGTGTCGTTAATTCTTGTGGTCGCGTTAATAGTATTAAACGGTTGATTTCCTGGTTCGAGTCAGACTTCTGGATACTCTCTAAAAGGCCTGAAACATTATACTTTTCGAATGGTTTTTTTGTCCTCTCGTGTGGTGGTTTTTCATATCCAAAGCGACATGTTTGAGCTCTCTAACCGAGTATTTGCAGACTTTTAACAAAGTGCAAAAGCTACTTAGTAAAACCAACGGGAAGGTGGTGGGAGATTTAATGACACCGGCTCCAGTCGTTGTTCAGGAGACGACTAACTTAGAAGATGCTGCTAAGTTATTGTCCTATCCTGTTCTTGTTCTGATCCTTTTAAGTGTTTTTGGAAAGCCTGAGGGCAAAGAAGCATTCTTTTAACTTAACTTCTTTTTCTGTTTTCCAACAGAGTGTTGCTCGAGACAAAATACCGCCGCCTCCCTGTGGTGGATTCTGATGGTAAACTGGTAAGAAACGTTTAAAAGCCGTTCCACCCTTTTGCAGACTTCATGCCATTTTTGCCAAGACATAGCTAGCTAAAGGTTTCACCCTTTTTTTCCCCCGACAAAGGTCGGGATTATCACGAGAGGAAACGTGGTGAGAGCCGCGCTTCAGATAAAGCGATCTACCGAGGTGAAATCATGAACATGAAACCCGACAACCGAAGAAGAGAGAGGAAGAATACGAACATAGGAAATACAGCCCTTTGGCCAGAATATGAACTGTAAGCGAAGTTTTATGCAGAATCGGCTTCTCTTTGTTGATGGGATTAGGTTATCAGACAGATGCTTTAGGGCATTTGATTCTCATCCCATCATATTCTTCTTCCCTTTTTTTTTTATTTATCAGAAAAGAAATAAAGAAAAGAAATGCAGGTTTCCTCCGACAGGTTATCCACCAGAATAAGCTTTCACGTCAACCCTTGTTTGTTTTGTTGAACCAAAGTACCTGAATCTTTCCAAATGTCCCTCATTTGGATCATAATGTATGGATTATTTATGTTAAAATCTTTTTTTTTTTTTTTATTTAATTGTTATTAAAAAGGCGAGGAACGGCAGTTTCAATGTGATATGATCCATCATGAACTGGAATTCCTGCTATGGTTTTTTTAACAAACTAATGTACTTTCAGTTATGAGTTCCCTCTTATCTTTTGTCTGTTCTGTGCTTGACAGATTGTGTTTGGTTTTTTGGTTCATACCCTCCAAAAAAGCAACCTCCTTTCTAAAAAAAAAAAGGGGAAAATCCAAAAAAAAATATCTTAATTTATTAATTTTATGAAAAAAAATCTAAATTTGTTTTTATTAAATAAAATCTCAATATTATTTTTCAAATAAACGTTATGATTATATTCGATATATCATCATTTATATTTATATATCACGTCATCGATAGTTTAAAATAATAATTTTTTTTTGTAAAGTTTAGGTTTATTTATACGGAAAAATTCAAATTAAATTCGAAAAAAAAAAGAAAATTTAGATTTTATTTCGTAAAAATTGATAAATTCACATATTTTTTTTTGGAATTTTCTAAAAAAAAAATAGTCTTTTGGTGACTTCTTACTAATTCACCATTCCCTTTGTTATAACATAATTGAGTCCATTCAAAATTAAACATACGAATCCAACTTCACTAGTTACCAAAAAAAAATTATCATTAAACTAGTAATCACATCACTCAGGTAGGAGGCGCAACATTTATCAATAAACTATTTCATCTCCCATTCATCATCATCCGAGGTTTCCGGGTCGGGTATCTTGTTCAAGTCGACCCGTTCCAATAACCCCTTGTTACATCTCTTGAATCCTTCACTAACTCTGTCATCATTATGCCCATAATCACGATTATTATCCCCGTAATCATGATTACCACTACCCAAATCACCCCTGTGGTTATGCCGGCGCTTGGTTTGCACCGCCGTCCCAAGCGCGTCAACCTGCGCGCCCACCTCCGCCGCCTTCCTCCTTATGTACGCCGCCGACATGTCCCCTCCGCATCCTCCCACCGTCGCTGTCTCTCCGGCGAGAAGCTCCGGGAAGTTGAGGCGGGGCGGCGGGCCCCGGAGGTAGAAAACCGCCGTGTCGTAGGCACGCGCCGCCGCCTCCGGCGTGGAGTAGGAGCCGAGCCAGATCCTCGAGCGCTTGTTGGGTTCCCTAATCTCCGCAACCCACTTCCCCCACTTCCTCATCCTTATCCCCTTATACGGCTTCTCCCTCTTCCTCGCCGCCGCCTCCGCCGCTGGAACAGCCGCGATATCCATATCTTTCCGGTGAAGCCTTCCTCCGGGTAATTTCCGCCGCAAGTTCCCGACTTTCCGAGAAATTTCAAAAGATCATTGAGTCTCTGATCTGGGTTTCAGAGATTTCAAGGGAAAGATCTGTTGGATGATTGAGAGAAGGAGAGAGAGGATTGAAATTGACGGCGATGACATGCGGATGAGGTTTACACGTAGGCAGAGAAGGGAAGAACACGAAACCGCAAAAGAGAAGTTCCAAATTCACCGGTACTTATAAACTCTGATTTTTCGCTTCTTATATCGCCGAAGGCAGACAATGTTGCCCCCTCCGTTATGTCTTGTAATAATAATAATAATGTTGTTTATTTATTATGGTTATTATTGGACCGGAATAATTTTTTGAAATAAAAAAATATACTATAATACTATACGCTAATAAACCCGTCGACCTTTTCATTGGACAGTAATAAAGTTGCTCCTCGTTTTTTAATTAAGATTGGCATTCATAATTATCTTAGATGCCCCTACCTTATGCAAACCCGAAAAAAAAAAGAGGAATACAACTGATATTAATTTTTATTTGAGTCGAATACGATGGCCTATCCACACCAAGATTATGCAATCAAGATAATAAATATAATTTACGTGTTTTATAAGCATTTTCATTCAAATCGGACTGATATATGGATTTAAAATATCAAGGAAGGAAGATATTCTTGATTGCATGGAATATGAATAGCCATTGACGTCGGGAAGTGGGTCGTCGTTGGGAGAATTCGGCCAACAATACAATAAGTGGGATCAATTAAATTGTATATATATTTTTTAAAAACACGATTAAAATCTTTATATTTTTCCCAACAATGATACTGGATTAAATTTGTAGAATGTAAAATAGGTTATTGGTATTATTATTATTATTATTATTATTATTATTATTATTATTATTATTATTATTATTATTAAAGGGAGGCGGTGGTGGTGACACGCGTGTCTTTTCTGGGGAGAAGTTAGTGCGATTTCAGAGGTGCTTTGTCTGTTCTCAATCCCTTTCTTTTTTTTTAATTAATAATTAATACAAAACAAAATTAAACTCGTAATCATGTTATATCTGTTATGATTTATATTTCTTTTCTTTTTTACAAGATTTGATTTATATTCTATTATAAGTTTCACCTATAGCTGATATTTCGCATTATACGATTTAAATTTGGTTTCTGAATCCATGTCTTAGATTTATTTATAAGTTTTGGGTCTAATTACGCATTCTTATGCATATATATGATAAAAACTAATTATGTAACTTGAGCATGCTTTCCAATGTGTCACGTAAATATCAACTCGTTCACGTTTGTAAAATTCAGAGGAAAACGTGATAAAATTATTATCAGGAGAAAAGGGTATAATCATTTTGTAAGATTGTGGAATTGGAAAATTCATACATGTGATTTACCAACAAAAAAAGAAGAAATGTCACACATGTATGACCCAAAAAAATTTATATATATATATATTTACCGAATAATCAACTTGATTGATTTTTAATTCCGAAAATAAATTCCGTTAGGTTTTTGTTTTGAAGTTACAAGAATTTTGAAATACTAAACCCCCCCCCCCAAATGTTGATTATTCGAAATAATGGCGTAAATTTTTTTTATTATCTCCTAGATATATAAAAAAAGCCTTTTATTTCAGATTTTACGAGTGAAATTTTAAAAAAAAAAGTTAGGTCGGTGGTCGGTGGACATGCATGATGTGTATATTGGCGATTTGGAAATAGATGGTCCAATTAGATGTACGTAATTGACTATAATACCCCTAACAGATACGGTTCCCTCCCCATTCAATGGAGGATAATTTTGGTAATTCGGCTCTATTTATTTATAGTCCATGGTCGGTCGATTTCATTTTGTGAATTAAAGAATATTGTACGAAGCATTAAGGGAAAACAAACTGTAGACTCTCGTTTCATACCGTTTGTTTTTGTAACAATGTCAACTACCTAAGTAATGTCTTAAGAATTTTTCGAATATATGCGCTGCAAATTTCAATTGTATCATAAATGATAATAATTCGCATATTATAAATGTCGTCTGCAATTTTTTTTTCTGTATAAACTTGTTATAAGATTGTATCCCAATTGATTTATTAGATTTTGAATTATAGTGATTGTAACATATTTTAGCAAAGTCGGTCCAATACCAAGGGACAAAAGTCAACGTAGCAATGTGTTAAAAGTCGTGTTAAATATATATATATTTTTACATTTGCTTATTATTTATTGTATGTAATTTTCAAAACAAAAAATGCCAAAAAAGCGTTGCAAGCGTTTGGAAAATGAATAAACATAACATGAACGTTGAAACAAACAGGCAACACGATCCCGGAAGTGGTTATGACGTCGCTGTCGGAAAAAACAAATATTTCCAAAATAAACAATATATATATATATATATATATATATTGCAGGGTATCTCGATTTTATTTTCGATATATATATATATAGTTTGTCCTGCTACATGTGTGTGATATGTGCAAAGCAGCTTGCATCAAGATTGATTAGAATTTTTTTTTGGATATATGATTGATTAGAATTTAGAATAAGCCAAACCAACAAAAAAAAGAAGGAAAAACATTGACATTCCTAATCAAAATGTTTTGTCTGTACTTATGAGAGCTAATCTCTATTATATTGCGTAATTTATTAAATAATAAAGCCCCATATTTTTATTGTGTATTTTACTAATTTAGTTCGCCACTTGTTAGCACAAGAATGGAGATGCATTGCATGTTCTTATTTCTTTGTATTGTCTGTTTTGTCTTTTCCTCTCCCTCCCTCTCTAGTTTGGTTTTTAAATTTCTCCTATTTTTTAGGAAATGGCTACGAATAATATTTTATAAAATTGCATAGTAATATGTGATTTCAGATATTTTTTTGTTCAACTTCAAACATATAGTATAGTGTTATATATTTGTAATTTGCAAAATGTTACAACTCCCTCCAATAATTTATCAAAACATAACATCAAACACAGTGTATAGGATCATTATAGGACATCGATAACAAGTATCGATACTTGAATTATTTGAGTGTGTCATATATATCTCTCAATCTGATTCAAAATTATAAATTTAAACTTTATCTTATCTGATAGGATAGTGATTATATTGATTTTATGCTAAAACCAATAATTGAATGGACTTCTTATATATATTATATACACATATGTAATGAAGCGTGTGCATAGTCTCAATTTTAATTTGCAGTGGAGATTAGCTGTGAACCGGTTGGCACATGAACATGGTGCCGATTACCAAAATTCAAAAACCCTAATATATATATATATATATATATATATCGTCTATGCCTTGTTGATTCTCACGTTCTTTGTATGAAAACATGATATTTTCACATCGAGATTCGGAATCATACATACATACGTACATACATACATACATACATACATACATACATACATACATACATACATACATACATACATACATACATACATACATTAATTAATTAATTAATTAATTAATTAATTAGAGTTCCTTTTGATGCAATGCAAAACATACGAAAACATTTAAAAAAAAAATAAGAGATGAATTTTGTCTCAATAATTATCACATAAATGCGCGGTCGGAATTTAAGTTGGAATGGGAGAAAGCTAAGGTCTATGATTTCACATGTTGCTCCAAATGTATCCCCACATGCATTACTATGGCCGCATAAAATATCGAATCGATTTTCATGTGAATCTGCTTTATACCTTTCTTTTATTCGTAAAATTTAAATAAAACTAAATAAAATGAGACAATGGGAAAATCGATTTGTTACCATCATTGTAGAAGTAACCCATGTTATATTATATTATATATAAACCGGAAAGCGAGTACTTTTTTAAGTAGATTAGCCAAGTGTGAAATATATTTTATTTTATTTAAAAAAAAAAGCATAGAAGATGATGTAACTTGAAGACATATTTCGGAAATGCTATACATATTTTTAATAGAATAATATTTTTCAATATATAAACATTTTATCGGGCCAATTTGCATAAGATAAAGTCTGCAAGTTGAGACGGAGATTAGCAATAGTTTTGATTGACTTTGTGAAAACGGAACGAAACAAAGATAAATAAGCAGGGGTAAAAACGTCATTAAAGACGCACTAACGGACAAAAGACACGTGTGAAACGATTTTACACGTGCGAGATCTTTGGCCGATGTACTTGTGCAATTTGAAACACTCGTGTTCAATAATTGAGACATGTTTGTCAAGATTGCAGGTAAAGTACATTTATATTTTGATCTAATTCTGGTTATTCGTCGGTTTCCTACTCATTTTATAGCATGTCATATCTATCTGTATTTTATTAAATTTTAATTATTACTTTGATTTATCCCATCTGCGTTGTCCCCCTTTTTTTTTTTATAAATTGGAACTCCGCATCATATATCAATAAAAATAAATAAATGTCATGTCTATCTGTATTTTAATGGGCCAAGCGAAAGCCTTATTGGGCTATATCTCTATGAATATATCGCCCTTGTCGTTTTTTTTTTATTATAAAAAAACAATTTGTTTTTTTAATTAATATTGTTTCTATATTTCACATTAATTAGATAGGTCTGTGAGGCATCCTTAATGATTTCTTGTACCACTGTTTTATAAGCTGCAAACTTTGCATCTTTTATTCTTAATGGTGTGGCATCTGAGCTTCAACTGAAATTTATGTGATATTGTTAGTTATGCGTATGTATCATTTTTTTTATAATCTTATCCTACTACATCTTGAAAACATAAGAAAAAAGTTGTAAAATATTTTTGGGTGTATATATATATATATATATTAAAGGGTAAAACCCCTAAAAAACCTCGAACTTGTAAAAATATATATAAATAAACCTTAAACTTGCAAAACTATCATCAAAATCTCAAACTTGCAATATATAACTGAATAAAACCTCGAATTTGCAAATTATTGCTCTAATAACCCGTTGAGTTGTTTGACCATAATTTCAGGCGATCGAAAATCCACGTTTGCTCGGAAAGTTGATGTCAGCATCTCTACGTAACCAATTTTAACTGAATAAACCTTCAATCTGATTATGTTCTATTACGTTGACTTGAAAAACCGGTTTTATTTACTTTCAAATCGGATTAAATTTCGACCCAAAAAATGTTGATGTGACAAAAAATCATTTAAAGTTAGTTACGTGGATACGTTGACATCAGCTTTTCGGGCTAACATGGATTTCCGATTACCTGAAATTGTGGTCAAACAAGTCAATGGGTTATTAGAGTAACAATTTACAAATTCGAGGTTTTATTCAGTTATATATTACAAGTATGGGCTTTGAATGACAGCTTTGCAAGTTGAAGGTTTATTTGTATATTTTTTGCAAGTTCGAAGTTTTTTAGGAGTTTTACCCTATATTAAAATTAGACATATTAATTCCATTTAGTGCAAAATTTTTTTTGCCTTTAGTTAATTTTGTTAGTCTCTCATTCCAACCAAAAAATTTTCTCAAATGTTATATGATGGTACGGTGGTACCATTCCGAACCGAACCGATTCTAAAAGCGAAACGAACTATTTAACAATCGATTCTAGTTTGGTACACTTTTTATAAAATCGAAAATACCATTTCTGAAATCGAACCGCTTAAATACCGAACTGAAATCCGAAACGTCCACTTCAAAAGATAGAACCGATGGGTATAGGTTACGTGCATGGAACTTGGAACAAAAAGACACGCAAGAAGAGTCATGTTGTGCTCGATTACGAACCTTCAACGGTCCACTCATTATACATATATATATATATATATATATATATATATAATTATGTATATATAAGTCATATAAATCCCAACAGAACTCAAACCGATTCACATGTTGAAACGCATGCTCACGATGACTCCCCTTCCTTTTTCCTTTTTTTCCTTCTCTCATTGGAAAAAAAGTGGATTTTGATTAGGGGTGTCAATTTACGTATAAGATCCAAAATCCGACCGGGCCGGCCCAAGAAATAGCAAAATTCAAACCTAAAATTTTTGACAAGTTCGATTTGTTTTAAATATAATAAAAAGAAAAAAAATAAATTTACAAAGAAATTTGAGCTGGTTGTTCGGCCCGACCCAGTCCAATATGAATACGAAGTATATAGAATCAGAATTCGAGTTAAATTATATAAACCCAAACAAAATTGGATCGGTCCAAATCTGAATCCGAAACCTTCAGACTGAGTGAGGGCTCCGACGCCCCGATCCGATTGACGCCCTTAGTTTTGATAGAAACTTGGTATGTCCATTGAAAACGCTAATCTCGCCCAGATTCAATCGCCCAGATTCAATGGAATTTTTACGAATCACCATCCATGCAAAAAACAAGTGAGATTAGGGACAGTTTGAACGACTATTGCAAGTATAACATCGGTTTCAGACAAAGAATCTTCTCTTGGATTTGCCTAAAGTCCAAAATGAGCCGTTAAATAAATACCAACCTCAGTTTTTCTTCGGGTGGATACGTTGAGTTCCCGGTCAAACACGGCAACTTGTGCTCAAATCTTTCTAATCTTTTGACCATGTGTCTTTTTCAACATTTAAAGATTCCCAACCGCAAGTTTTTTTCCCCTAATCACATCAACTAATCTGATTAATGATCATAAAAAAAAGAGGACGTATTTTTTTTTTTTTACATTTCGTTTTTTTACCACATTTGAGATGAGCAAACAGAAGTACCCTCTTCTTGATTTAAACAGTAAATCCAACATTTTGGAGACAGTCCATTATAAATATTTTTTTTTTGTTTAAATGTGCTTGTTTCATTATAAATATTACTTACTGCAGATGCTTGCATTACACATTCGCGCTTGGTCGGCTGACTAAATCACTATCATCTATCTAATAATCAGTGATTCATCATATATAAGCCATAGATTTTTCACGAAGATTCCAATATGAGACCAGCCACGGCGGTTCCGGCGACTTCTGCGGCGGGGAGAGAGTGGCCGTGATCTCCTTCATAGGTTACGATGAGCATCGAGGGATCATCGGCGGCTCTTTCCACGTGCTTACGGGCCGGACAACCTCGTACGCTGCTGCACTTGTAGTATCCTCTGCAACAGAAGTAGGGTGATTTTGTCTAGTCAGAGAAGAATTACAACGTTTTTTTCATGGGAAATTTTTGTAACTTGGATCGAGATTCTTGTAATAACCTCGGATGTGGAGATCCTTTGATGGGTTTTTGTCCGTATTTCCTCCAGGAGTAATCGTCCGGCGGAATGTCGGTCATCTTCGCGCTGATGGCAGGAACCCTAATCACCCTCTTCTGTTTCAGCTTTCTGGCAAATCATGAAGAAGAGGGAGAATAATCGATCAGAGCTTTTTCTCTGCAACAGAAACTAAAAAAAGGAGAGAGACTTATTGGTGGGTACCTCTTCTTGGAGCAATGGCAGAGACCGGAGGAAGCGGAGGCGCATTTTCCGGCGACAATCCCCTCAGAGCTACATTTCCTCTTCATAGAGATCGGCGAAGATGACGAAGACAGAGGCTTCAACGACGAGCTTTGGATCCGAAACGGCGCCGTTTCGGATTCAGTCGTCACAGAGGATAAGAGCGAAAAATCGATCCTTTTGAACGAAGAAAACGAACCTTTCCTCCCACACAGAGGGGTCGAGACGATCTCCGGCGGCGGCGGAAGAGGAGGAGCGTGAAACGGCACCGTTTCGGGCTCCGGTTTCTGAACCGGGGCGCGTCTAAACCGGGCGTGACCGGTTCTGGTCCGACCTATGAGAGAGACGACTCTCCTGAACTTCGAAACTGCGGCGCCGGCTGTCGTTTTGCAGGCGGCGTCAAGATCGGAAGAAGAGGAGGGTTGATTGGAATCGATACTCTCCGGCGACATGAGACGCGATACAGTTGAGGCCTGAATCCGCCGCTTTCTGGACGGCGAAGCTCTCAGTTTCGGCGCCGGAGATGTAATTCCCGGCCATTAGCTCCACCGCCATCTCTCTCTCTCTCTAGAACGATAAAGGTATACAGAGAGAGGAGGTTAATGTGGTCAAAGGAGAAATTATTTTTTTCAAAGAGTAGGTGACTGACTAACCTCTCACACTACACTTTTTTTTTCCTCTTTCTTGTTAAACTCCAACCTCGTGTGTTTGGTTAAAATTTCCAACCACAAACAAATTTATTTATTCGAATATATAACACACAAGTCCATATATATATATATATTACATTATCCTCAAATACATTAATATATATGTGTGTATATATGGAGGAGGAAAATAGGAAAGGAACACTCCAAGTCAAAAGAGGGAACGTAGAAGAAACCCTTTTAGCCTTTTAAAGTATTTTTCTTTTTTAATATCCGTAATTAATTTAGTAATCTAACAATCTGTATGTGGTCCGGAATATGTCAATTCAAAACCGACTGCGCAAAAATGTGATATTCTCCCCTTGTTTTGATTAAGTAACATAATAATAAATCGATTTTTTAAACTTCTTAAAAAGAAGAAGAATATATTTTCGAGGCCATGGATTGATTTTTATTCCCCTTTTTTTATTATTATAAGTAGATGTAAATGGCTTTTAAACATTACTATGTGACCCGATACAATGAGATTCGATCAAATATAAGGGGCCCAATTAGAACAGGCCCAGAAGCCCAATTTTCAGCTGGGTTGCCTTGACTTTCCGAATGAATCAAATTTCTTCACTTGGAATACATATATATATATATATATATGTGTGTGTGCTGACACATATATAATAAGGGTGTTTCCTTAATTTCAATAATTACCTAACCAGATGTCATTATAATGGGCCCCGTGACGTTGGTCACATATTTCCTCTTCCGGCCTACTCTGTTTCTCCATCTTCGGCCCAACTAATATGACCCAAAAAAGAAAAAATATTTGTTGAACCCAACTAATTTAAGTATATTCAATCATTTGGTTAGTTTCACATTCCTTATATACTCTCCACTAGTAATTAGTATTTAATTATATATCCAATATAATTTTTCCTCAAGTATAGAAATAAAATCTACTACTAATATAAAAAAACGGCGACGTCAAATATTTGACCAACCAAAAATCGACACGTGTAATTCTTGCCGCCTTCTAAACCAAAAGCAAACCTACGTCAAGAGAACCCATCAAATGGAACAGTTAGTTTATCACTCTCGCACGATGCGTTGCTGCCGAAACATCAGATGGTAGCGAGAAGACAGCGATAATCTAACTGATTATGTCTTAAATCCGAAGTATTCAGCTGATTAATCAGATCATTCGGTGTCTGATAAGGAGGAAGGAGGAGGAGAAGGAAGAAGAAGAAAGGGAGAGGAGGAGGAGGAGGAGGATGAAGCTCTCTGCTTTGCACCAGAGCTACTTGAATCGCCGGAGCAACAGCTTCAGATCATCTCCGCCGCTGGATTTTCCGGCGGATGGCTCTGGTAATTCTCCGGCGGCGTTGTTCTGGGTCATCCTCCACTGCCTCTGCTGCTTGATAAGTCTCGTTCTTGGATTCCGCTTCTCGCGTTTGGTCTTCTTCTTCCTCTTCTCCACCTCCAACATCTACTCGGCTCCGTTCCGGTTGGACTTGCCGGCAAAGCACCTCGATGTCCGAACTCTTGGTCGGAATCCGGTTCCACCGCCGGTGAACGCGACGGCGACGAGCTCCAGAGTTGTGGTCGGGAGACACGGGATCCGGATCCGACCGTGGCCGCACCCGAACTCGGCGGAGGTCATGAAGGCGCACCAGATAATCGAGAGGGTTCAGAGGGAGCAAAGGACGATCTTCGGGGTGAAGAGCCCGAGGAGGGTCATCGTCGTCACGCCGACATACGTACGGACGTTCCAGACCATCCATCTGACCGGAGTGATGCACTCGCTCATGCTCGTTCCGTACGATCTTGTATGGATCGTGGTCGAAGCAGGTGGAGCCACCAACGAGACCGCTTCCATCATCTCCAAATCTGGTCTCAGGACCATTCACGTTGCGTTCGAACAGCGAATGCCCAATACGTGGGAGGATCGGAGCAAGTTAGAGCTCTTGATGAGACTTCGAGCTCTGAGGCAAGTCTTCTTCTTCATGTCTGCTTATACATTTGTTGTCTGGATCGTGTTCTGTATGAATGTGGAACTGATATGAAGTATTCGATCGGAACAGAGTGGTGAGGGAGGAGAAACTTGATGGGATTGTGATGTTTGCTGATGATAGTAACATCCATAGCATGGAGCTGTTTGATGAAATTCACAATGTGAAATGGTTTGGTGCTGTTTCTGTCGGAATTCTAGCACATTCCGGCAATGTGGAAGAGATGGTTTCGTCGATAGAGAAAGGGAAGGAGATCGTGGAAAAACAACAGTCGTTACCCGTCCAAGGCCCCGTGTGTAATTCATCCGATAAGCTGATCGGGTGGCACACTTTCAATACACTACCTTACGCCGGGAAAAGAGCTGTATACATGGACGATATGGCTGCCGTGTTCCCCCAAAAGCTGGAGTGGTCTGGATTTGTATTGGACTCTAGATTGCTTTGGGATGAATCCGAAAATAGGCCAGAATGGGTTAAGGACTTTGGCCCGTTGAATGAGAAAGACGGTATAGATAGTCCGTTGTCTCTTTTGAAGGATCCAGCCATGGTAGAGCCGCTCGGAAGCTGCGGTAGACAAGTTCTGATATGGTGGCTTCGTATTGAAGCCCGCCCCGATAGCAAATTCCCCCCCGGGTATGTCTTTTTTCCTGTCCGTTTTCTCTCCCGGGTAGCGGTTGGTATGTTGATCTAACTTCTGTTGTGGACTTGTGCTTATGTTTAAGTTAAGCGTCTGGCAGTTAGTGAGATTTTCGACAATCTAACAACTGATGTCCACCATTGTAGGAACGTGATAGCTTAGTATCATGAAATCATATGTTATGATATTGATTACTGTCGTCGATCTGTTCTTGTTTGGACGCAGGTGGATAATCGAGCCGCCCTTGGAGATAACAGTCGCGGCCAAACGAACACCGTGGCCCGATGCTCCTCCCGAGCTACCCTCGACAACTTCCCCAGAAAACTCAGCCGATGTGGCAAAGCATTCGGCCAGGAACCGCAGATCAAGACGGCGGAGTAAGAGAAAGCACGAACCAAAGGCGATGGATACACAGATTTCCACTAAGCATCAGGACAGGAACTGAACCGTTTATACGCATGAAAATGTTGAGACATTACTGAGAGAAATCTCTCTCCATTGGTTCCGAGAAGACAAGAGTAGCATCTCCTAGCTCTCTCTCTCTCTCTCTCTGTAGAGACAGCATGTTTTTGCTGTATAGTTGTCATTCATTGATCTTTACAGTCTTGGTGAAACGTAAACTTGTAATTTTTCAGTCATTTCTCTTCTCCCCCGACTCACAGGAACTCCTTTAACTGTTTCATAGCTTCAACTGAGTTCATATGGATACCGAATCGACAATTATCTCTCCTTGCTTATCTATTATTTCATTATATAATCATATATTCTCTTTTTTTTTTCTATATGTATATATATATCTAACATATATGTATATATATATATATACGTTAATATATATGGAGATACGATACGACATAGGGATAAGAGTGGATTCGGGGCTAACTTCGAAGCTAAGGATAAGAGGATGAGGAAGAGCGGTCGACAGTT